AAAAGGAAAAGGGATTAAGAAGTACAAGTTGGTAGTTACAAAACAATCATGGGGATGTAGGGTACAGCACAAGGAATACAGTCAGTAATATTGTAATAACAATGTATAGTATCAGATCAGATTTATCCGACTGATTACTTTCTAAGTTATATAGAAATCTAATCACTATGTTGTACACCTGATGCTAATATCGTATGTTAACTGTAATTGAAAAATAAAAAAAATTAAAAAAGACAGTCTATATATAAATAATCCACATTTAGTGAAAATTGGAAAAGACAAACTAAAAGAAAAACACCCATGATTCACCCAGAGGGAAACTTAATTTTTAATGATTTTTTTTCCTCATGCTTATGAAAATTTTTTAATAAAAATGGAATATATATTGTGATCTAGCCTATTTTCCCACTTACCAGTATCTTTCCATACGCAAACAGACCTACACTAGTATTCTGAATCACCACACAATACTATTAAAATTCAATCACTCACTATTGGACATTTGGTTTGCTTTCAACATTTTTGCAATTGTAAGTATGAATATATTATGAAAAATGTTTTACTTACATCTTTGTTCACTAGCCAAAAGTTTCCTTGGGAGCTTTTTCCAGAAGTCAAACACTTTGACTGAGAGAGAGACTATGACTCAGCACCTCCAGGCCTGCCCCAGGCACAACACTATTCCGTATCCCCAGCAGAGTGAGGTCACTCCTCTCTGCCCACATATGCATGAATTTCTGAGGGGGCTGGAGCCAGGGGGTCTGTCCCTGTCTGTTACATATCATATTGTCACTGCAAGTAACAATAACATAGGGGACTGCCCAAACACTTCTGGTCAAAGCTTTGCCTGCATTTGGTAGGCAAGGACAAAATATTTTTAAGAAGGGAAAGGTTAAAACAATTGCTTAAATCTCTCTCTTCCTCCACACCACTTTTTATCAAAGCTACTGTACCATACCACACCTCAAGAAATCTCCACTACCCTAACACAGAAGAACCTGACTAACTTAGAGGTGTTACTACCAAAAGAAACTTTAAAAATTATTGTCAAAAGCCATTACCAGCTCTTCTGATTTTTCACTTGGTTGAAAATGATAACCTGCGCATGGACTTACTTGCTGAGGGACTCACTCTGAGCTCCAGCACTGGAGCTACAGCTCAAAAGGTGCCAGGGACATATGGGGAGGAACTGAATTATCTGGCATCAGGGCAAGGGCTGGAGGGGCAGCTTTCTCCCAGACAGAAATGCTGGCAGAATCCTTTATTGCTTTGTTGAGTCCTCCCCCATCCAGTGTGCAAACACAGGCAGCTGCCATATCTGAGTCTCCATCTAACACTGTTCACCCCACCCTGATTTCCTGAGATCCAGCCCCACCCAACTTGTGGAACCATCGAAGCTACTTCCAGTGGCTTGTCCATAGGCCGTCTTAGCTCATGCTGCGGACTTTCCTAAAACCTACCAATGGCTCACAAACCCCAGACAAGCAGCACCTGGTTTTGGTGTGCCCTGTAACTCTTGCTGAGCAGCCTCAAGCCTGGCACTACTAGCAGCTGGCCTCGATTTGAGGCTTGGCCTCTCCCAGGCACCTCCATGCTCAGAGTGGGTGGCTGCCATCTGCAGATTGCTTTGTAGCTTGTGCCAGGAGGCTCAGAGCAGGGAATAGTCTGAGGCTAAACTTGGCCTGTGGCAGGGCCCCTCCCAGGAGCACCACCCAGCTGCCTCCACAAACGACACACAAAAAGCACAGACGGGGCAGGCACCAGAGCCCTGCTCAAGTGAATCCTACTCTGTAAGGTCACCTCCTGCACAACAGCTCCTCCACTGTAGTCACAGCCAGTCTTCACAATGAATCAGCCTGAAGGTCAATCCTTCCCACTGATGTGTGAACAGCAACCAAGGCTCAACTACAACAGGAGGACACACACAATCCAAACAAGGGACACATGTAGAGTACCTGGCTCAGGTAACCAGGGAGTCAGCGCTACAAGGCAATACAGCACACCTACTACATAAAGCCACTGTACTAAGACCAGAAGATATAGCAGCTCTACCTAATACATAGAAACAAACACAGGGAGGCAAAAAAAGATGTCTTAAATGAAAGAACAGAACAAAGCTCAAGAAAAAGAACTAAACAAAATGGAGA